ACGGTATTTTTTTCAGTTCTCTTTCAGATGTCATCTTTCGCTTGGTGTTACTGGTCATTGTCTGATTTCTTTCTTTGGAATTGAAGAGGTTATAGGCTATTGAGTTCAATACAGAAAGTTGTTGCTCTCATACTCTTGTCTGCCAGTGGAAACAATTTCTATTTAATTGGTTAAAATTGTCTTCCCCGTGGTCATATGTTGGACAGCTTCAAAATGTTGCATTAGTAGATCTGGACACTTAATTTGAGCAGCGGTGACACACATCAGGCAAGGTGGCAGCTGTGCCTTTGAGCCCTGTATCTATGCATCAGTGAATTTCTTTTTGAAGCAGATAATTGCAAGAATTTTAAGCAAAGAATGTAATCTTTAACCTTTGGCAGTTTTTATATCTCGACCAAAAGTTAATGCCGCCACACTTATGCTGTGGTCCAGTATCGTCAGTTTTCTATTAAGCACTAGGTCTTCTTAAGCTGCTTGATATTACCTAATGCTAATTTAAATGCAAGTAGTATTGAATCAGCAATCGGAAACTGACTTGCATCTTCCTCTTTCAGTCTTTCCTTTATAAGAAATCAATGTTAATATGTAAGAATTGGACGTCTTCAGCTATTTCACTCTGTTAATTGAATTATGAAACGCTTAAAGGGTAAGCTTAGTACATCACTGTTAAAGCTTACTGATGTCTTACAAAGATGTTACGCTCTTTTTATACGGAGGTCTAGCAGTATATTACTTGTATGCAGTGATAGCTCTAATTGGAAACCTAATAGGATACAAGAGATTTCTAAGGCTATTACAAATAATAATATATTATTTTGTGAGTCTGTGGGATTTTTTTATTGGCAGTCCTTTGGGCTGAAGCTGGAAATAAAATGCAAAATGTTGAGATATTTCTCGTTGGTTCAGAGGGCTGTGTTCAGTGCTAATCGCACATCACATTTTTGGAGTGCTGAAGTGCTCCCAGCGGGCAGTTCTCGTGATATAAATTCCAACAGTAAATCGGCGCTAACAAAGCTCAAGTGCCTGTTCGGTTCAGTAGCTCCATCTTTAGGGGAGGGAGGGGAGGATGATCACCGGAGCAACTTGCAGTAATGGCTGTGTGTCAGTAGGTTGCTAATACCTACATAAAGCGGTGATTCCTTGGAGTGGTGGCTGAGGGTGCCCCAGAGAGTCGTCTTCAGTAAGTTTGCACGGTTAAGCTGGTGTCTTTCAAGAGGTAGAGCTTCCCGTCGAAATACAACGCTCTTCCAGCCTAATACACAAGTGGTAGCTGGAGAGTACTGAGTGCCCAGATATATAGACCTGCACAGGACAGGGACAAGTCATTAAGGTGGAGCGGGATGCCAGGAGTCTTCAGGATGGAACGGCTTTTACTTTAATTTAGTACCAATCTTGAGCTGCGCGGGGTTTTGTGTTCTGAGGAGAGAAATCTTTCCCTCGTGGCTGGTGCCTTGCTTTGCAGAGAACCTGTCTGCCTTTACTGCTCTCTTACCTGCTTTCCTTCCCTTGGAAGCATGCTTTTAGTTGTAGCTTTGCTATTGTTCAACTGTTTAGCACCAACATATTGTGAACTTTTACTTTAATCTGAAAATAAAATTTTAGGTCTGATAACAGAATTAACTCCCTCTCTCTCCCCTGATTCACCTGCTGTGAAGAACATGTTCACCAGTACTGCAAAGTGCAGGGGAAAAAAGCATGTGTCTGATCCCTGTTGTTACACTGGGAAATTATGGTTTTGTAATTGTGTTTCCATTTGTAACACTGTTACTAACACCTAGCAATTACTCTGGTTCCCTTCACATTAATCAAATGCATATTGTCATGTATATATTGAATTTATTGGATTGCCTTCCCTCTCTAGTAATACTGCTCCATAATTATTATAATATGAGAAGAGCCTTTTTGTTGTTGTTGTTATCCTTCTGTCTTATATTAGCCTTGTTAAAAGAATGAGGAAAGAAGAGCAAGGCTGTGTTTCATTATATTAGGGATGTTAAAATCCTGCCCCTTACCGAACAAGGGTAAAAGAGATTTCCAAAGTCATAGCACATCTATGATGGGAAAATCTGTGTCAGCACCTCCCTGTATGCAAAGGAAGTTTTCAGCTCTGGCATCTTACAGATAAAATACTACTGTAGCAGCACAGAAGGAAAGATAGCAATGGAGTGCTGAACTGTTAATGGCTTTATAGGTTGAGCTGTGCTTATAAATACTCGGTGACATATGGCACGCTACAGAATACAAGTGTCTGAGGATCTTAGTAAAACTAATTTTCAACAAGCAGGCGTGTGTGTTCTGCAACACCTCTAGTCTGTACTGCTCTTGCGAGCTGCTGGCAGGTTGGGGAGAATCTAGAATTAGACAAAGGTGATTTGAGAAAGCAGTGTTTTAATTTGACACAGGGATTTTAATTCCCCTAACAAAAGCAGTTCTACAATACAAATAATATCAATGGTATGTGTTCATGTGGCCTCATTTCAGAAACTGGTGTAGAAAAGTTTGACTTTTAGGAGTATCACCATGTATTTGGCTTCATTCAATTGTGCAATGAACCTTGGTTTAGCAATATTACAGGAATATGTTTTAATTTTAAAGAACACACAAGATAAATAAAATCAACATAAGTCCTTATTTTATTTAGTATGGTCTTTGTGGTGCAGTTCTGTTAAGGCTGAGCTGGAGCATCCATTTTTGAAATACAGTAGGAAACAGTTCTTTGAAACTTCACTTTTGTGTTATATTGAGATTGTGTAGCATGTTTAGAAGTAGTTCTGGGCAATGCTGCTCTTACAAATGTCAGGAGAGAGAAGCTGAAAACCATACCACACCTCTAGTTCCTCAGCTTTGCTAAATAGTCTGGAACACCGATAAGTCCCAGTAAGATTTCTGAGATTTTGGAAGCATTCCATCTACTTTTTATCCCTGTCTTTACTTCAAGTGGTGTATGAAGTGCGACACTAAAAACTTTCTTCCATATTGTACTTTGAAGAATGTAAAAGGTCAAATGTATCTGAACTGTGGCAATATTCCTAAACTGTTTGATTTTTTTTTTATCTCTTAGCGCTGGCCCCAAAGGTGATAACATCTACGAATGGAGATCAACCATTCTGGGACCTCCAGGTTCAGTCTATGAGGGAGGTGTTTTCTTCCTTGACATCACATTTACACCAGAATATCCTTTCAAGCCTCCAAAGGTAAGAGACCTGTAGCTGACACGAGACTGTAAAGTAGCGAATTAATGGAATGCAGCTCGTCTGAAAGCCACTCTCTTTAAGAACAAGCTTAAGCTCATTTCATCCATTACACTGGTTTCTATTAGCTCGTGTTAACAGCTTTTCCAGTCCTCTTGATCACTGTTCTAGAGCTTGTTTTCTTTTTCCCTGCTTCTAAGAGGTCCTAAGCAATTAGTGCAAGCATTGGGACAGGACTGAGAAACTGAAAAGTAAATAAACTTGGGGAGAGGAGAAAGGATACAAATACTTGTTTCTCAAACCACTCAGTTGCCACAAGTGTAACAGTTATGTGTGTTTTGGCCACAAAGTAGTATTTCAGTTCTGTTGGCTACTGCTGTTGTTCACCTACTTGCACAGTAACAAACTTTCTCTGTAGGTGTGTTATATTTGTGTAGCTCTCATATTCCAGTGTTGCTGTGTTCCAATGCTGCAAGGCAAATACTGGTGCAAGTAAATGTTACCTTGTGGTTCACGTACTTGGCCAGAGGAAGTGTGTTGGGTTACAAGAGGTGGTTGTGTACACACTTAATGTTTGCCTTGTATCTGAAAGCATTTATGTGCATGTTTAGCTTTCTACTGAAAAGTCGTTGCATTGGTGAGATAACGGCCAGTGACTGCCCCATCTTCAGACTGTGGTCGAGTCTGCAGTGGAAAGAACTTGCCATAGTTAAGGCCATCAGTCCATTTCAGCAGAGACAATGCTAATTAGTCACACCAGACAAATTAATGCAAGCTTCCCAAATTAAGGAAACTGTTTGACTGTTCTTGCTAGCATGACTTCAGGGTTTCTGGCAGTATTAACAGGACCTGAAATTCTACCCCTAAGCTAAGGCTCCGATTCATGAGCAGCATGGTCTGCCCTGGGACATCTCTGGTGATTTCCTGCTGGCGCCTGTCCATCCTTCTTTGGAGGTTCTCTGGCAGCACAGGTGGTTCTCTTGTGTCCTGTCTTAGAGTTTAATTCAGTTCAGAACAGTTTTTAATTATTTTGGCTTAATTAGTTTGCATTGGATAATTTATTGTCCACTCAACTGTATGCAGTATCTTATATCATGAGCCCGGTAAGCATTTAAAGAGGGAGCTTCTACCTTCCCGTGTGTGCTTTGCTACATCTTTGCTTTCTATGCTACAAGTCAGAAGCATTTGTTGTCCCAGGCTTATCCAGGCTGATGCCTCACAAGACCATGTTATAACTACCAGTGGTACTGAGACAGCCCCACATGCCAAGGTGCCTGATGCAGAACCAGAGATACAGCTTTGTCATTCCAGCTCAGCCCTGCTTTCTGCTCTGCGCCTCTGACAGGGTTCTCTTTGCATTTATTTTTGGATCTAAACCCTCACCCAGATTAAAAGAAGGGTGGGATTAAGAAAAAACAGGCACTGCTTAGTGAGGCCTTATAAGACTAGTTTAGTGGAGATTCCCTTTGTATTGTAGCAGTGTTGCATTTAAATGGAGTCTCTTTCATATAGCAGAGTCCAAGTTGGTTTACAAATCACATGTATGTGTGGAATTAAAATACATATAGCTTCGGTCACATGGAGATGGGATATAGGAGGAAGCGTAGCAGAGCTCTAATAGAACGTACTTGTGCTGCTTGGGTACTTCTGGTTCTCAGCAAAGGAAAGGTTCTTCATTTAAACCGAAGATGCTTATAGCAGCTCCTGTGTGAACACCTACATGAGTGTTAATCAATGATAATGTGGAAAACATAATTATTGTATTGCTCCTGCTTTATTCCCACTAATTTGTTGATTTCAGATTGCCCAATTGCTTGCAGTGACTGATAAATATGGTTTGTGAGTAGGAAGTATGGAAGTAGTAGGACTAATGTAATTAGTATTTAATTCCTGTATTTGTCTTTTAGGTCAAGAAATAAATAAACAGCTAGTTGACACAAAACCCAGTGTATCATTTTGATGATTAGCACTAGTAGAGCAGTAGAGTGTTTGACGGTCATTTCAAAACCCTTGACCTCTGAAAAGATTAAGCTGTCTGGAGTGAAAGGACTAGTTTCCCTTGAATCTTTCTTGGTAAGCTTTGCAAGACCGGTGGAAGAAAACCTCCACTGCCTCTTTGAGTCTTTGGTAATTCTTAGGAGTCCCTGCTGTGGGCTGTCCCGCGGTGAAGTGCCTATAGTAGAACACATTTCATAACTTGAAAATTAAATGTCATTAAAGGATTTAACTGCTTAAATAAAGTGAAGTGAAACTGGTCGTCCTGGCAGGCTTCCCTTGGGAATATGCATGAGAGAAGGTGGTGAGGCACAGCCGCTGTTGACAAACGCTGTGTGGTTGACGAGCATCCTAGAGGCGTGTGATGAAGGACATGCGGGTGCAGCCTTTGAGGACCAGGTCTAGCTCCAGCCGAGGGTTTGATTCAGTACGTTGGAGCAAAGTTTTGGGAGGAGGATGTTGCTAGAGGAGAGCCAGCGGGTTGTGCTGGAAGTGATGTTGATGGATTCCTGGAAGAACATGAAGAGGGGCTGCACTACTGCACTTGAGACTGGAGAAATTACAGGCCTTAAAATTTGACTTGGAAATGCATTGCACAGTACAAAGAACCTCAGCGAGAGAAAAGTGATACAGGGACAGACACTCTCTCTCCTGTGGAGTTCTTTTGCGTTTATTGAGCATTCCAGGCAACGCTTTGAAGAAGTTAGCGTTGATCTGTTCTCTGCTTTTATGTTTCCTCATTTTGTGTGGCATTCTGGTTTGCCTTTGTTTCAGATAGCAATTGAGTCAGGCACGTGCTGGGTGGGCCTGGATTCAGGAAAATCCAGTAAACAAGTATGGTTAGAATTTAAGAGTTCAGGACTTAGTCCTCAAGATCATTGCTGTTCTTCTGTACTATTACAATGGACATTTTCCCCAGGGTTGCATTATAGTTGGGTTAGATTTCATTTATTGAGGTGAAAACTGTAGCTTTTGTTGACCTGGTGTGTGCTTTGATCATTTGTATTAATAACCTCTAACCACTTCCTTCCCCCCCACTCCCATTTTGCTGCTTGTGTAAATTAACCTCTGCTATCACTTCAGGGTAAGGTTGAGATTAGCTTCTTTTATGTCTTTTCAAAAGCTGTGCTTAACTCTGTGTAGTTACTGCATTAATGTAATCTCAGGTGGGACATTTCCAAAGAATTGTTCAGTTACACTATATTTTTCTGCCGTTCCACATGCTGTTCTCTTGACCCTGAATACATTGTACTACCTTCTAAATAACTCAGTTTATCTTGGTTTTGGTCTGAATCTGATAGCTTCATGTAATTTCCCCCCCCTCCTTTCCTCCCCTTTAAGGTGAAATAAACAGTTACTTTAAATATTTTTGTTTGTTGGTAAGTGGTCATCCAGTTCCTCCTCCTTTCCCAGTTTCATTTAGGTTCCCTGCACGGCTGGCTTTTGTACCATCAGCAAAAACTGTAAATGGCAAACAGCTGGACTACACGTGTCTAACACCATCCCAGTTCTGACTTGCTCCTTAAGTGAAAACAAATTTAGATTTTTCCCACAGTGCTTTGGTTAGGTAGAGCTCCTCTAACTGGGGAAAAATGCTTTTGGTGCCACGGATATAACCCAGATATAAGGATTGTATCTTAACACTCCTGAAGGAACCAGGCTGTT